TCTTCTAAATTGTGAAGTCATTTCAGCTCCTCTGTTTATGTTGAGGGTGACATTGAAACCAGAGTCTACAATGATAGCATCAATGGTGAAGTTAAAAGCATACCAGAAATTTGTGTGCGCCGGGATGGTAAGTCAACAGCTTATATTTGATACCTTAGGAGTTTGATCATTACAAAGGGGTTATATGTTAATATCTTGCAGAAGAGGAATACATACTCTTCTTTTTCATTGAGGCTTCCAAAATGTTTGTAATGGGCAATAATAGTACATGGCCTGCTGCTACTAGGGTATATGTTACTAAAATAAAAGAGGAAAATCGGCTCAATAGTATGAAATGCTGAGATACTCCAATTCCCCTCAAGAGAATGATGAAATGCAGCATTCAATATTCCTAGAGTGAACCAATTGACCAAAATGCATATTGATGTACACATGAGTTTTTTTTTTCCCACTTTTTTTTGCAATTGGTGTGAGTAAACTTGTAAAGTCATTTTCATATTTTATTGGTTCATGTAGACTAACGGGACATGTGTTTATTTGATTGATCTGTAGGTCTTCATTAGGTTTTTAATATGCTACTTGACCAAGTACAAACTGGAGGGATATGTTTATTTGATTGATCCTTAGGTCTTAATTGGTATGGCACATTGCTTTAAGAACTTCCTCTAAGTCCCTTATAAAATTAAACCATATGGAGCTTTAGTTGTTTCCATCTGTGCTTTTCTTTCTAGATGTGCTTAGTTTGCAAAATCTATGTTGTCTGTTCACAGATTTACCTAGGGATGTTTCAAAACTTAGGGGCCATTTGGTAATATTTTATTTTGAGGTTCTGTGAAAGAAAAATGAAAAATAATGTTTGGTAATGTTTTGTTTTGGTTTGTTCTTGTTTTTATTTTTATTTATTTATTTTCTAACATTTACAAAGCAGTGGCTTGTTTTTCCACATAATTTTTCTATTTTATTTTTGAGTCTAATGCTATTGACCAACCACCTCTTTGACTCCTCTCACCATGTACCCATGGTATTTGACAATAGCCCACCCCCACCTACACCATCACACTTCTCTTTACCAATCTTAAATTCACCTTAGTTTGACATTTACACTTTCCCGATCTATTACACATTTACACACCCACCACACTCTCCTTTGATTCCCATCTCCTTTGACCTTATCCTATGCATACTTCACTTTTATCCTTAACAAGTATCTACTTATCACCCCCTTCTGCCCTAACTACGTCAGTGTACTACACTTAAACTTCTCTTGGCATTCCCCACCAACCCCTTTCTTTGACCCCTGCTCACCCTCGCTCCATCTAATCTCAGCTTGATCAGCTCACCATTACTTTATGGATAAAATATAAAAGCCAACATGCTTATGTTTTTACTTTCTTTTTGAAAAAACAAATTTCAAAACCATAAAAATAAACAGAACTAATATGTTGAGAATCGCCTCCTTATTTGTTGGGTCTTTGTAACTCTTTAACTCTATCTTTTTGAATAATGCTATTTTCATAAAAAATAATCCATTACAAATTGCATTCATGTCTGCAAACACAAGCGGAAGGAATGGTGGCAATCTTCTCTCTCTCTCTCCATTCCTAACACATTAACAATTTGTCCAAATATGTCCCAAATTTTCAGTTATTAATGTCACCCAAATTTGCCTTTTGAGATAGTTGACTGCACTGATATTCTCCATAAGAGTGAGCATAGCGTCCACTTTTATAGCAACCACAATGAAGTGCAGAATATGGAAAACTGAAGAAAATATACCAAGTCATGTCAAGATTGTTCATGCTGCGTCTCAAAACATTATTTTGGCACTTGTCAACTTCCACTGAAACCATATGAAATGTGTATCACCTCATAACCATTAACTATATACTGACATCAACCTCTGAGAACATAGCTATTGTCCTTGGTACAGAATTTGTTTTTACACCTTAAAATAAAATGTGTTGTCTCATTTGAAAGACATTGTTACAACTCATAATACTAGTTCATGTGTTCCTTTTGCAGGAAGGGTTCGGCTTATAAAAGCAGGAGAAAATGTCAGTAATATATCTTTTGATGAGCTGCGTAAGTCTTTTTTTTTTTTTTTTTTTTTTTTTTTTTTTTGTTGGTTGCATGATGAATATTTCTGCCATGTTATATTGAGATAGGTTTTGTACTAAATGAAAGCATATACATGTTCCTGATCTACTGCTGCACTGCTTGCATTTTTTATAACTTATTTTCCCATCTTTTGGTGGCAGGTGTAGGATTGCTTTAGTGGAGCCCCCTTCAAGAATTGTTTAAGGTTTTAACGGTGAGCTACTCATAATGATCAAATGATACTATTGTTGGGAAGTAATGAAGTATATTCTTGTAGTTCGTCAGAATTTTAATTTTCTGTTTCCATTTACAACTTGAATATTACCTTGCCCAACAGCTAATAACTATTTTATCTTATTGTGTTCAAAGAAAACCATGCACTTTTCCTCCTTTTTGTTTTTGTTGAACAATGGAAAGAGGGGAAGCAGTTGAAAAGAACAGCCTTTCTTCTTTTGGTCCAGTGGATGTGTCTATGCATTTCCTCATTCACATTAAGGCGATCTCATGTTATCTGTGTCAAAGTTGCAATAATGATGCCAAAGTTCTTTCATGTTTTAATTTGCGAGTAAATAGGTTAGCTTTTGGAATGAGAAAATGATAGTGGCCTCATATTAGTATGCAGGATTCCTTTTGGAATGAGAAAAAATGGTAGTGGCTTCATATTAGTCTTATGATTGATTCTTCCTCCCCAACAGAAGCTTTGTTTTCTAACTTGAAATTTAGCACACTTTGCTTTTCATCAGAAATGTCTCCAACTTTTCAATTTTGCATTAGATTGGTCAGGATGAAAATCCTCTTAGTTTTCAGTTTTGCTATGCTATTGCCCTACTTCTCTTCTAGCATTATGTTGGTCCACTGTTTAGAAAAATCCTTAAAAGAATAAGAAAACCTTTCTTGGATGAATCTTGGATCTCATTTAAGTTTCAAATAGCTGTGTTTATTACTACATGGCAAGGACTTAATAGATTTTAATGTTTGCAAACACTGTTAGAATGCTAGATTTGATTGAAACCCATTGGTTGCTTATGAACGGAATTGATTCTTAGTTTGCTTCCTATGTTGTTCATTTAATTGTCCTTCCATGGTCCTAGTATTTGTAGTTCTATTGTATATCATATTTTCACCTGATCAAAAAATAAGGTAAGTTATGACTTAGTAGTTACAGCCTTTCTCTACTACACAGTAGTAGTTGATTTGGAGTATGAGTTGGTGTTGTATTATTACAAATGTCCATATTTTTGTTAAGAAATCAGTTAATTTAAAGATATCTTCCAAATTTGGTCAATAGGATATACTGTTGCTGTCATGGCGGTTTATGAAAATATTTTGTACAAAGTAGATTATTAGGCCTTTGGCTAAATAGCATGTAAACAGGTCACAAGACCCTGGGAAATGGTAATTTTAAAAAATGTAGGACCTAAAATGCAGGGGAAACATGGAAATATAAAAAAAGCAGGGGTACTGGGTACATTTTAAAATATTTTTTTTCTTTAAACATGGATAAATATTAATTATTTACTAGTTTATAATTAAAGTAATATAAAATTAAGGGTATATAGGGCTATATATACTATAAAAATATAGGGGTTGGAGCAAGTAAGACCTTTGATGATGATGATGATAATAATAATAATAACAATAAAAATTATTATTATTATTTCAATTAGACTCCTGAATCTCATTTTCTTTTAGAAAATGTGTCTTAATTTTTTTTTAAAAAAAAAAAATTATGGAAACAGCCTCAAAACGTTTTGGGAAAGTTTCTGATGAGTTTCCATGTGATAACGCTCCTCCATAAGAATTTTGTTGCATCGTAGGCCTTTGGAGCTGATCTTTTGCTTTAATATGTAATGATGATAACTGTACCAAATCATTGGACCATGTGTATAGTAAATATTTAGTCCTGGAGGAATGCTATTTGCTGTAACTATTTAAGTAAAATATCCTGCTACCACTTATAAGGTTGTCATAACATCTGTTCCAATGAATGATTTCATTTTTTATTTAACCTGTTGATGTCCCAAATGCTGTCGAAATACCATTTGCTAAAATCTTACAACTATCTTTTCCATGACAGTGCATTAAAAACGAAAAAAAATCCCCACATTTCATGGGGAAAGGGCTGCCCTGATTGGGTTTAAGAAATTTTATTTTAATTGAGTCAGTATAAGCCACATTGGTAAAGGGCTGCCCTGATTGGCTAAATGCTCCCCAAGTGCACTTCAGAAAGCACTAGGATGTACGTTATCTTCTCAAGCACTTTCATTCAATCTGGCTTTTGTATTAACCTTCTTCTATGTTAAACTTCTGATGGCAATTTAATATGAAATTTAACAATAGGTGTTTCGGGCTTGTAATGCTTTTGTTGTAAGACCCAAAACTAAATATGTTGGTTCTTCATTGTACTTATTTAACAATATATACACATCTGTTTTTGCTTCTCCAGCTTTCATTTCAACTGTGTTATACAGCTATTAAGGTTTGGCAGAATTAACTCGAGTTCTTACCTGCTACTTTACAGTTTCTTAAAGGTCCAGTAAAATTAGTTACCATCTATTTTGGAATATTCCTAGGTATTTTTTTTTTTTTTTTTGTGCATTATCACTTTTGCTGATTGATTGAATGGTAAAAAGTAAAGAGGAGACTCTATGTGTGTAGTACTTGAATTTAGGTTTGAGTAATTTGATTCTGGGACAACTAGTAAGCTAATGGTTCATGTTTCTAGAAATTAGGTGATAAATGTCCATTTGCATCATGATTACTATTTTTATACAGCTTAAAATTTCGAAGTGACACTTGGAAACCATTTCATTCAACACTAAACTATTAACTACCCTTGTTTATTTTATGCTTACTGAACTTGGCATGCCTCTCTATAAATAGGTACTCAAATCCAAGCTACTCTTGCCTCATTGTGGTTTTTGTTGTCATTCTCTAAACACTAATTATTTATTACCATGCAAGAAGTTCTTTTTCTAGTGTTTCTTTCATTAACCTCTGTGATAGCATATGATAATTGCCCTAAATGTGGCACTATGGATGTGCCTTACCCTCTTAGCACCGGTGATAGTTGTGGAAACCCCAGCTATAGGGTTTACTGCAACAATGGTGTTTTGAACTTCTTATCAGCAACGGGATTTTACTACAAAATCCAAAGTATAGACCCGAGTGCCTCGAGACTCATTATCAGCCCTCCCGTGATACTAACAAACACTTGCATGTCTTCTGATCTAAGTTTAGGGGGCTTGACGATCGACCAAAACTCCCCATTCAACATATCTTCTCGCAACACAGTAATGTTATTGAATTGCTCGGAGGGTATTCTTCTTTCCCCTCTGAACTGTTCTTTGAGCAGCCCTTGCAGAGTGTTTGAGAGGGGGGTGGGAGAGGGGAGAGGGTGTGGGGATACCCTTTGTTGCTCTTACTTGAAAGATTCATCTATGACTTCTCATAGAATTAGGGCCAGGGTTGGAGGGTGCAGTGCTTATACATCTGTGGTGGATTTGAATCCAGGAGATGTTAACTTTCATGCATGGCACTATGGCATTGAGCTGCAATGGATACCTCTTACCTGAGATTGCCACTGCTTTTAGCTTCAACTCTGTGGTTGTGTCTTGTTAGCTAAGCTGAATGTGTTTTGTTGCGAGCTTCATTTTCTTTTTAAAATAGTTGTTCTACATATTTTGTGTTTGAATAAATAACCTTGGGTGATTGTTTTTGGTCCTTTTTGTTGTTGTTGTTGTTGTTTAATGGTGATGATGAGAGAAATCTATAGCTACTACTCGAGAGTGTGCATTAGGTAAACTATATTCTGTATAATATATTGCTCGCAAAAATTATATCGTAAAGATAAATCACACTACGAAGATTTTGTGCGATGTGCTCAACCCAAGAGGGTGTTATAAATAATCAAATTTGTGACTTTTAAGTATCAAAATCATGTTTAACTTAGTCACTCCGTTTGGACTCCTTTTGGACAAGTGCATCACATTTGGTTGGGGGAATTACAATTCTTAATCAAGTTATCCTTCTTACTTCCTAACTCTAATTCATTTTAATCTATTATTTATAAAAAGTAACAACAACAATAATAACATCATCATTATTACCGATTTATTATAATATATATTATAATCTATGGAATGTGATTCATTTTAAGTTATAATAATAATAATAATAATAATAATAATAATAATAATAATAATAATAATAATAATAATTTATTAGATATTTTAGTTTTTATATTATTTATTCTCAATTCCCATGTAAACCAAACGATGTATGTGGAAAATTTGGTATAGATCTGTCAAAGACCAAACAACAATATTTTGCACATGTTTAATGGCAAATTATATTTATATGGTCCACCTAGGTATATAAATATGATAAAAAGTACATAAGGTACATACAAATAATATTACATGTACAAAAAAAATAACACCAATAATAGTGAATTTATGTACTTACATTAATGAATCTATGTATTTACATTATTGAATTTATGTACCTATAAATCTATAATAGTGAATTTATATGTTTATAATAGTGAATTTTTGTGCTTATAATATTAAATTTATGTACTTAAAGTAATTAATTTATATATCTAAAGTAGTAATGACTTTATAGTTATAGATTTATGTAAACGAAAAAAATATAATAATAATATGAGTGTCATTTAAAATATCTCAATTAAATTTTGTTAATGATATATGGAGTATTTTTTATATATCAATTTTATTCGTACAAAAAGGAAAAGGAGAAAAAGAGAGAGAGAAAAAAAAAAGTAAGTTGGTAAAATTTATGAATTAGGGTTCACTTTGCACTGTATGATGTTTAATAGGTAGGGAGTTGGGGACGGACTTTGCTACACTCTCCAGCATTCATTATTCATACACATTCGTTCCTTGATGTGACATTTTGTGGTGAATTAAAATTTAAAATAAAAAATTAACCACACAAAATTAGCATAAAGTAGGGAGTTGGGGAGTATAGAATAGATACTACCTTGTAATAGAGTCAATAGTACTTAAAAAAAATCTATAAATTAATAATTATATCAAAGCTAACAAGCATTCAAAAAAAAAAAAATATCAAAGCTAACAAAAAAAAAAAAAAAACCAATACAATAATGATATATGAAGAAATATGTATAATAACATGCAACCCCAATCGCGTTGGTCAGACTATTGACTTCTTTTGTCGACTAGGGTCATAATGTGAGATTTACTTAATGTACATGTAAACCCTAAGATATATAGTGGTTGCGATTTCCCATGTCACTCAAATATGTATACTAGCATGCAATTCCAATAAAATTAATTAGATTATTAACTTCATTTACCGACTAAGGTCACAATATAACATTTACTTAATGCACATATAAACTCTAAGATATATAGTAATTGCGATTTCCCTCGTAAATCAAATATGTATAATAGCATGCATGTTATGGTTGGAAGAGGGACGAACTAACGTCAGTGCATGCGTAGGATAAAACTAAAATATTAGAAGAAGGTGGTTGGACTTCCAACTATTTCCTATATATAAGTGGAGATTCAGGTTGCACCACAACTAAGTCTTAGAATATACATGTCTCTTCAAATTTGGAAGAGGGTGATCGGAAATAGCTCAAATTTTTAATACCATATGATAATTATATTTTAATTTTTATAATTTAATATATCTTTTTGTATTTTGCGTTTGATAGAGATTATTTCTAACCGTACCATAACGCTTACATGATCGGTATCGAGCCTACTCACCTAGTAAAATCGTGCCCGAGCATGACCGACCTATTCCCGCACTTGCCCAACCTAGATCTCCGAGCGAGTGTAGTCTCGCTGGCCAGCGAAGAACAGTGCTTATCACTTTGCCTCGACCAGATCAAGTCGGGCCGAGGGTCAGACCTACTATACCTAGAGCCGTGTTTAGCATAATCCTCGCAGCCCAACTCAATGACTGTGAATCCGATAGAATCAGGAATTCCTAGACACGTGGAGAGACCCATCAGGGCCCCGACCTTACCCTATGCATGCAATCCACGTGCCACCCATTTCGAGGGATCAACATGTGCTCCCTCGTACCTCCTATAAATACCGCATTAAATGCTATGAGGAGGGACTTTTGGCACCTTCTATACACTCACTTTTAGCTCGGGAACCTCTGACCCACTGTCACATGACCCGAGCTAAAGACTTAAACCAACAAGCAGGCCATAGTAGGATCCCTGTACGATCCGACCTCCATACCTTACGGATTTGTAGAAATCCTCATATTTAATACATCAGCGATAATTATATTTAATTATTATCAAAATTTTTAATTTTAAAAATTTAATATTAAACTTTTATCTTTTGTGATAATTATATCGTAATTATAAATTTATTATAATTTCAGATTAAAATATTCCAAACTGGCTTGACCTTCTTAAGTTGGCACACAATTTATTTAAAATATTACAGTTCAATATCTTTTAAAAATTTTACTTAACACAAATAAAAAAATAATTAAATTAAACTCTTTAAAAATATTTCACATATATATAAAATTATACTCAAAACATTATGACTATCACAAGAATTGATGAGTACTTTAGAGTCATATAGGCCTGTTTGGTAAAAAATTAGCCTATAGGCCAATTTTACAATCGTTATACCCTACACCACGGCGCACATAGCACTGTGCGCCGCGCGCCTCCCAAAATGACATCGTTTTGGGGTCGTTTTGGGAGGCGCGGTAAGAAGTTGCTGGGATTATGTGTATTTGTTCACACAGTTATGTGTATTTGTTCATACAGTTATGTGTATTGGTTCATACAGTTATGTACATTTTTTATACAATTATGTACATTCTTTTTATACAATTATGTACATCCGAATCAGAAAATTTGTGTGTATTATGTTAATAGTTGATGTGTATTATGTTAAAAGTTTATGTTTATTATGTATTATGTTAGATTATGTGTATTATCTTTTAAAAAGAGTGTATATTTTGTTATATAATTATGTACATTCATGTATACAATTATGTGTATTATAGTATAACATTATGTACATTCTTGAACAGCGGGTTTTTTTAAAGAAAAAACTACTGCCATTCACTGAGGCGGGAAATTTCAAAAAAAAAAAAAAAACTAAAATGATATCGTTTTGCATCTGGGCGCATAGTGCAACGCGCGCCGTGGTGTAGGATATAAAGTGCCCCAATTTTAGCTTATTTGACAACTATTAATTGTTTGATTTAGTTAAAATATCAATATAAATGTTTGGTTAATTAACTTTTTGCAACTTCAAAAGGCTAAAATTCAAAAGGCTACTCCAAGCAACTTTTTCAATTAGCTTTTTGAGAAAAGAAATTATACCAAACGGCTATCAGCTAACAGCTAATTTACCAAACACTTTTCTACAATCAGCTAATGTTATCAACTATTTATACCCTCTAATTAACAAAATCAGCTAACAACTAACAGCTAACAGCTAACAGCCATTTTACCAAACAGGGCCATAATATAATTAGATATAATGGTCACATACTGTAAAGTTTGTTATTAAAATTTTAAAATTAACATGTTTGGTTCACATAATGGATTTTGGGGAATATAAATGCTATTCCATAAGGAATTGACTAGATGAAGTAGAATATGAATTTTATTACATTGTTTGGTTCACTAGAGGAATGAACTTCATGAATTACATTCCAATGGTTGGTTTAAGAAATTGAAATAGCACAAATATTTAAAAGAAAAAATAATCCTTTATATTAAACGTTTGAATTATATATATATATATATATATATATATATATATATATATATATATATATATATATAGAGAGAGAGAGAGAGAGAGAGAGAGAGAGTTGCACTCGGGTGCGAACGGCTCGCCCAGGCGCGAAATAGAAATGGATTCTGTTCGTCCACGTGTCCAGATCTAATGGATGAGAAACACTGATTTTTTAAAAAAACGCGGTGGCATTTTCGTAAATAATTGAACATCGAAGTGCAAGTAAAATGTATTACAAGTGCATGTAAAATGTATTATAGGTGCAAGTAAAAATTTACACTGATCATCAATACTTAGTTGCACTTATAGTTCTAAGTAGTTGCACCTATAGTTCTAAGTAGTTGCACACATAGGTATAAGTAGTTGCATCTAGGTGTATGAATGTTTGCGAGTGGTTTTCAGGAGTATTACTACCCGCTGAACTCAGATCAATGAATGTTAACAAGACAAAATTACATGCACTTATAGGTGAAAGTAGGTGCACAGATAGTTATAAGTAGTTGCACCTATAGTTATAAATAGTTGCACATATAGTTATAAGCACACCCAGGTGCATGAATGATTGCGGAAAGTGAATGCTAACAAGGCAAAATTACATGCACTTATAGGTGAAAATAGGTGCACATATAAGAGATTTTACTTGCACTTCGATGTTCAATTATTTACGAAAATGCCACCGCGTTTTTTTTTTTAAGTTATTAGATCTGGACACGTGTCACGCGCTGATTCGTTCGCATTTCCTTCCTGGGCACTTATTCGCACCTGAGTGCGTCCATATATATATATATATATATATATATATATATATATATATATATATATATATATATATATATATAATAAATGTATTTAATATACGAAGTTTATTTTTAATTTATATATTGTGTCTGTTTTTTTTTTAATTATAAATTTTGTTATTAATAAATAAATATATGTA